AATGCAAATGTGCAAATATGAAATCTTGAATAGTCTCCATTTATGCATTTCCTCTATCTAACTTTATGCCTTAGTTGTTATTTGCTAGAATGAAGATCATGATTGCAATCATCAATTCTTGAACTGGTGATTACACCTTTTTTAATAAAAATGGATACTATTAATAATCATAATTTACAAGAAGAAATGCAAAAGTTCATATGCACAATGATATAACATGCATTCAGAAAGAGCATTGCAAACTCATCATCATGGTACTAACAGTATCAATAAGATTATCATAAGCCTCAGCCATCTTTGTCCAACTCTGTAATTCAAGAAGCATAGCAATGCTGGAAAAAAAACATTACAATGAAATAAATTAGCACTATCTGCCATCAAATTAATATCCCAAAGAAAAGAAAGCCTTGGTTTTCACAGTCAATGTAGTTATTAAGCATAAATCTTGCATAAAATACCATAGTATAATCAACCATAATCACAACTATGGATATATCTCATGCTGATTAACTAATGAGATGTCAGACAAGGATATATTGTTTTGGCTTTCACATCACTAGACATAAAGGGTAAAGCAAGACTCACTTGAGTAGGTCAAGCAGCCTTAGAATTGAATGGCGTGCATTTAGTTCTAAAAATATCAGCCCATCATAAAGGAGATAATCAGATGATATATACATAATGCTGCCAAGAGTTATTATAACCTAAAAAGAGAAAAAAATTGTTTTGAGAAAGCCTACCCTAAGTAAGAGAGGAATGTGCAAATGTTTATGACATCATAAATATTCATAATATTATCAATCTGTGGAGACCATAAAAAAACTCTAAGATCAATAACTTCATTTTGAGGCAAAGATAAGATTAATATCTAAGAAAATGAATCCTACTTGGCAAATGGTAGAACTCCGAGCACCAAGCTAATTTCACCAACAACTTATCAAAACATGAAAAAACTGTGAGAAATAGTCCTTCATACTCTCCAAAAGAGGCTGTCACATTCAGTATCAAAATATTGCACTTACTATAGACATAATTGCCAAACTAAAGGATGCATTTCAAAAGCACAAAAAACTCTACACCAGTTCTTCTAACAAGAAAAATGAGTATAAGGAATTAAAATATATCATTGCAGTCTGATGAAAGAATTGAAGAGGCAATGAGAATTTTTGACAAACAAGATTGAGTCATCTTCTAATCCTTTTCCAATCTATATATATGCACCAATTTTGAAGAGCAAGTAAAAAGGTCTGTACATACGCATAGAAGTTTTATTTTGCAGTCACCTAGTTTATTTCACTGCACAAATCTCAAAACCAATAGCCTTTATTCAACTATCAACAATGAATAAACATTGATATTTTATTCTACACATAATGTCCTCAAATCCCACCAGATCACAAAATCCCAAAAAAGACAAAGCCCTTTTTGTACTTTTTAATTTTGTTTTCTACCCTTAACAACTCTCATCAACCAACAATGCCTACCTCAAGTTTGATCTGTCGGATATCATGTATGGTGGAGGAGATTTTCCAGTAGAGAGGGCAGCTCATATAGAAGAAAACAAGAAAGAATAGAACAATCAAGACAACAAGGAAAGCAATCCTCGATGTAGATGACACCATGAAATTGTTCTGTTTCGGTCTCTTGTTCTTGTTCAACTCAGCTTCAAAAAAACCTGCAACCTGATTACCTAAAATGAGAGCAAATGGAGAAAAAAGTCGGTGGAGACAAGCTTGTGATTTATGACTAAGTTCCACTTGGAAAACTGAAGAAGCAAACGGCCCATATTTTTTTTAATAAGTGAAACGCTGCGTTTTAACGAAATGGAGATGAAATAGAAAAAGAAGTCAGTGGAGACAAGCTGACCCCAGGAAAGAGTTGGGTAACTTTTGACTGTTCAAATTAGTCAACAATAAATGGTTCACCGAAAAGGCGGACACCAAAAACATTTAAAAGAAAGGCAAACACGTTAGAGATGTGAGTTGTTTTTTTTTTCTTTTGATGAAAAATGAGGCTACATATTACCTGGCAGAACTATGTACAAAACAACACGAGATCAAATCTTCTCATCATTTACCACCTCTATGTTAGAAGGGAGTTGATGATCCCATGACCAAAAAATATTTGCTTAAACTAAGTCTCAAATTAATAAGATTACATAAACGAAGGTTATCATTCTCAGTGTAAGAGGAGAAGAAAACATTCCCAAACTGTGTGAGCAGCAAACTAGTTTCATGAACAACACCAAAAAAAAGGATGGCCAATTAGATTATCTCATATAAGGAGGTTGTAGCACCTGATGTTTTGAATATAAACTTTCACATCTTCAATTCCCCTGTTTGCACAAGCTTGTTAACGCAGTCTAATAGCATTAATTACAGCAATGTCATGTGGAAAGAACACATTTATGGCATTAAATTTGTACACCCACTCCTGATATTGACCCTTAATAATTCCAGCACTAACAGACATATCACTTTGATAGGTTTCTCCTTTGACTAAGAGACATGTAGACTTTTGGGCTTACATGTGAGGGTCATTACTACATGTCCTGTCAAAAATGTATCCTTTCAGCAAGTTAAACATATGAAAGTCTTATTTATCCTTGAAAACACTTTTATTAGTAGAAGCAACTCCTTGATATTCTATTCTGTTGAAGACCCATTGGCATCGGTCAAGCCATAAGTCCCAACACATCTAAGCAAGCATTTGACACTAAGGAAGTGGTTTCACCTTAGAATTTCTTGCATCAACTTTTAGATTCCATTCAAGCCATTCTTGCGTGTTGCCTTTCTTGAACTCATTCCATTTATCAGCCTTGATCAGCATTCTCTACTTGATTTTTGCCTCCTTACAATCTCTAAAAAGGTGAAGTATACTCTCCTCTTCCATGCATCCTCTAGGCCAGCAAGCTTCCTCATTCAAACCACGTCTATATCTGGGAAATTTTGTGTGTATTGCTTTATTAGCAATCAACCAAAGTAAGGTTTTAAGATTTTCTGGTACATCAAGTCTCCAAATTTATTGCCTTTTGAAATTAATCCCTGTGCTCGTACCTACAAATAAAGAGAGAGAGGCAGATTTGATGTTAAAATTCCCATCCTATGAGTGTTTCCATATAAAAGTAATTCCTCTCCCTCTCTCTTTGCTAGGAAAAGTGTGAACAATGGTGTCAACCACATCAAATGGCAGCAATTCTCATAGTTTAAAGTAGTTCCAAGTTCCTGAAGGAAGAATGAAATCATTGATTTTATCTGCCATTTTAATAACCCTCCTTGGCATAGGCACCCTGTCAGTGACTCTTGTATGATTATCGAGCCCTCTATCAGTTCAAAAAGAATTATTAACATCAATATTGATTCGAGTTATCATTCCTTCTTTGAAGTGATCTCAAATTTTAACTATACTTTTCCATGTAATTGATGCATTATGCTTGTATTTCATCTTAAGAATAGCCTCTTCCCCGCAACTATATTTGCTTCTTAACACTTGGACCCAGAGTTTAGATGGTTGGGTAAGAAAATTCCAGTAAAGTTTTATTACATAAGCTTGATTTTGCTTTTGAAGATCCTTAACACCCAGGCTCCCTTTAGCTTTGTCATGGATGATTTTAGCCCAAGAAACAAGGTGGAGTATGTTCTGATCATCAATGTTTCCCCATAGAAAGCTTCTACATTTTGTCTCAATTTCATTAAGAGCTTTTTAGGAAGAAGCATAGTCTGCATATAATAGTTTGACGTTGTAGAAATAACTAATTTGATAAGAATAGCTCTCCTTGCCATGATCAATGTTTTAAATTATCTCTAGACAATATATATTTGTTAATATATTGTTTTTTTGGTCAATGTTTATTTTTTTTATTTTAAATACTTTATTTCTGAATATACATATTACAGCATCAGTGCGTGTGTATAATATTTTTATTTAATTACTATGTCATCTACAATTTCACTGTTGTCAGTTTGATCAATTAAATTGTGAGAACCATGACCTATTTATACTTCTAATTTAATATATGATCTGATTTTTAAAACATTGATTGTAACTTTTTGATTAATAAGTTATTGACTAAAGTGACACAATTTCATCGTCACTTCATATCCATAAAACCTTCTCACTATTACTCCATTTAAAAATCAAAACTTATTGCTTTTTTAAAGTGTATATAAAATAAAGTTAAGTTGCTTACTCCATTTCAATTTGTAAGCATAGTATATTAATAAAATTTAATAATAATTCTTTGCAAACATATTTTTTTAAAATAAAAATATAAACTTTTAAAAATAACATGTATTTAATATAACTTTAAATTTTATAATTATTTTAATTTTATCTATACTTAAATAGGGTAATATTAAAAAATTATCATTAATGAAATTTATTTTTTTAAATTATTTAACATTTTAGGATATCAAAATTCCTCTAAAATTATTTTATAATTTAAGACAAAGAAAATATTGTTTTATAAAAAATATTATTGACTCGAACTGAGTCTCGAGAGGGCAAACCTTCATTGTATCCTAAAAAAATATTCTCCATCAACCTAAATTAAAACTTAAAATTGTAAAAACATTATATATACTTTTTTCGTTCAAAAATGTAAGGTATTTTAATCAAATTTCACTCCTAATATAGTAATTATTTACTTTTAAACTAACCATATCTTTTTATATTTACTCTCGTTAAATACCCTATAATAAATATAAATTTATTCATCAATAGAAACACTTTTAAAAAAAAGTAATAATTACATCTCAAAATACTAAAAATACATTATTTTTTTTAACATTCAACCCTTTAAAAAATACTTTATATTTTTGAGCGGATGGAGTTTGCATTTGTGTGGTTTATTTTAAAAGACTTGAAATTTGTTTTGAGCTAACAAGTTCCACTTGTAAATGAACAATTTAGTTAATTTATTATCAATTTTCTCATGAAATTGTTTCGTAAGACAGCAAAGGAAGCCAATCAGGAACCAAAAAAAAAAAAGGGAAATGGCATTTTCAACACAAGCGAAGGAAATATCCATTCATTTTCAACAGAGAACTCATAGGAAAAACAAAATAGCCAGACAAGTCTAAAATTTTCTCATGTCCCATTTAAATTATTTTTCCACAGGAGTGCCACCTGGGATAAAATTTTTGTAGAAGAACCATCTTCTTTGAGTGCATTAGTAAAAGAATCTCTTAAATCCTTCATTCTCTTGCAAATCTCCTTATCTTCTTCATCTTCCATTAATCTCTTTACCAATTTACTAATCTCTTCCCTTTCTACTATGCCATTTTTGTTAACCTTTGGCCTTAAAGCCACTTTCAAACTATCAGTTAACAAAACAGCATTCATTCTCTGCTCTGCAAAAAGTGGCCAGGCTATCAATGGCACTCCATTTTGAGCACTCTCAAGAATTGAGTTCCAACCACAGTGACTCAAGAACCCACCAACAGAACTATGACTAAGGATTTGAATTTGAGGTGCCCAAAAAGGTACAACAAAGCCTTGCTCTTTAGTTCTCTCCAAAAACCCTTCTGGTAAGAAATCTAAAGGATTCTCATTTGCAGAACCAAGGTAAGCAGCATGAACTGAGCTACTTGGTGCTCTTAGAACCCATAGGAATTTCTGGCCACTCAATTCCAAGCCAAAAGCTAGCTCATTGATTTGGTTTTGGGATAGGGTCCCACCACTTCCAAAAGAAACGTACAACACAGAACTAGGTGGTTGATTCTCCAACCACCTCATACACTCCGACCCGTTTTCCTCATTGCTTGACCCGGTTCGAGTGATGGGTCCAACCGGATACACTGGGGGGTGACGAAAGCAGCTTTCTTTCTGGGTCAAGACTCTTATAGCTCTTTCTTCCATCTCAGTGAAGCTATTAACCAATAGCCCATCAACATATAACAATCTCTTGCTTCGTTTGAGAAACATTTTGTAATATTCACTGGACCGGTTTTCAACCGGGTCAGGGAGGTCTCTACCATGGAGTGGAACACAACCGGGAATTTGGATAGGTGCTGGGACGTCTCTGAAATCACCAGAAATCTCTTCATCGAGGGTTGGGAGATAGAGACAGAAGGAAAGAGCTGAAGCATTTGAGGGGTAGTAAAGGAAAGACAAAGTACTAAGTTCCTTAGCGAAACCTAGTACCTCGGATGCGAAAGAATCTGTAACTATAGCAGCCAAAGGAGATCTGGAATTCAAGGAGGTCAATTCATGTCGTAAAGATGGCAAGGATTTGGTTACTGTGAGTTGAATTTGGATTGCCACGTGGCCATCTTCTTGGGGTAAGTCTTGTTTGGAAATAGGAGGAAGGAAAAGGGATTCGATGTTCGAAGGAAGATTTTGAAGGTAGGCTATGGAGGCACTGGGAGGAGATTCCAGTGAGGGGATGATGAAGGTGACATGAAAGTGAGGATGAAGGTGAACAAGTCGCTTGGAGAAGTCAAGAATCGGAATCAGATGGCTAAATCCAGGACTGGGTACAACGGCTATATGAGTTGTTTTTTCCATGGAAACTTCAGATCTCAACAAAGTCTTGAGATCGATGAAAACTTGGATCGTAGTCGACGTTCTCAAATCTGTGGAAATGATGGGCCTCATGTAGAAACTAGAAAGACATGTTAGCGTGTCGTTATTCAATTATTATTACTTTTTCTTTCAGCTTTAGAAAATTCTCCACCGCTTGAATAGTATGTGGTGGGAATCCAGGTGTTGTTTTCCACTTTGCCTTTGACTATGATAAAAGCACTTGGCGTAGCACTGATTTATGGTTGAACAACCCGTAATTAATATATTTTAAATATTAAAAATAAAAAATAATTATATATAATAAAAATGAATGTTTAAATTTTAAATAAAATGATATACCATAAAAATATAATATTAAAAAATATTACATCATTTTAATTTAAAATATATATATACTTATTTTATAATTTATAACTTTAAAATATATACATAATTCATACATATTTCTTACATTTTTAATTTTACATTATTTATTAGGTATGAATTATAGTTTATAAATAAAAATTAAAAATTAAAAATAATATGTCCAGTTGAACTAGCTTTGGTTAGCTCTTCACCGTTTCTCAAAATTGCCAATTTCTACAATTATTGGACTATATTTGTGTACAGTTCTGAATTCAACCAGTTAAACAGGTTGACCCAGTTTTCATAATGCTTGTGTTAATAATCGCCCCAACCAAAATTATGGCACTGTCTAAATTTAAAGTTATTATTTTATATTTTATATTTAATAAAATAAAAATTATAAAAAATTTAATAAATTAATTACATCGTCAATCTAAACAGTTCTAAATTACTTTTGATGATTTAAATTTAACATTGAAATTTTTATAATTTTTATAAATTAATTACATAAATTTATTTTAGACAGTTTAAATTTAAATTTTTTACCTTGTAATTTTTTTAAAAAATATTTTTAATATTTATATTTATCAAAATAAAAACTTCAAATTTCTCAACAGTCCAGATCACATCATCCCTGCAAGTATCATCCGATGATGAAGACGGAAACCGAACTCAATGACATATGCAGCTTATTATTTTACTCCAAATCTGTCCTTTCGTAAATTGGATGGTTTAATTTGTTCTTTGTTTTTTCTACTGTGAAAGTAATCGTGTCTCTTCGTCACTGCATTCATTAATATATTTATTTTCTTACATAATCTATAGAGTACATATTAATAAAAGGATATAAAAAAATAAATTAACTTTTAAATTATAGATTTAAGGGCATTTACAAATCTAAACTCACTCTTAGTATAATATTTCTTTTTAACATTTAAAAATGATATAATCTGATCTCCACTATTAATAAAAATTAACTTTAACTATTAATTTATTAAAAAAGGACAAAAAATAAGATATAAAATTACATAAAAGGAACAAAAAAATTAAAGTAAAGAATACAAAAATTACTGGCAAAGACAAAAAAAAATTATAGAATAGAATCAACAAAATTTTATTAATCTTTTATTTTTATATAATTTGTGAGGTCCTTTTCTGTTATTTTTTTGGTCAATTATATTATCATTTTTGTTAATGATAAATGGTAGATTGTAGCATTTTTAAAAGTTGAAGAAGGATATTGTACTACAAGTAAGTTCAAGGTATAATTATTTTTAGTATCTTAATATGCTTTGAATATGATTGTCTTTAGATATTTGTTAGCGGTTAAAAATATTTTTTCTGATTCACATTTTTCTTCAATCAATGTAGTAATATTTCGTAAACCCAATCTCTTCTAATGATCTTTCAGAAATTTAAAAATATTGAAAATTTAAAAATAACGGGAATCTTATTAATTTAGAAATTATAAGTATAGTAAAAATAGCCTAATCCACCACCTACAAATTATAGTCTATAAATTATAATTTCAAAAAAAAAAAATCTAGGTCTCCTAAAAATTGTTGTGTATTTTAAATACAAACTTTTTTAAAAAGGTAGCTTTAAATATAAATACCCATTTCCATATTGTACGAGCGGCTGGGCAGTGTAAGAGAATCTTTGTTTCACAACCTTCACTAAATCAACAAAAATAACGAGACTCTAATCTTTTAACTCACAAGACCTCTTATCATCATTTTAATATTTTTATCTTTGACAATTCACCTCTTAAATATAATAGTCTCATGATTATAGACATGATTAAACATTAGTCTCTTAGATAATTATTAAAAATAAATAAATAACAAGACAGGAAGAAAAATTCTTCTTCAAACGCGATACAAGGAGAATAGCTAAAAATATCAAGTGAAATGATCAATTACAACAGCAACACAATTCAACAGGATTGAGCTTGAAGCATCTGGCCCAATTCCCATAATTTTCTAATGGTCCAAGCCCATATTAAAAAAGAAGAGCTCATCTGGCCCAATTTAAATTATTCTCTTATGGTCCTAAGCCCATATTAAAAAAGAAGAGCCCATTCATGGCATTTTGATTTTTAAATTTCCCTCTTTTTTGTCAAGCCTCATCGTCGTCGATTGTCACGTACAAATTGAGCCTATGGCTCAGTTAAATTTTGGAGCGGAGAAAACACGAACAAGATGTCCATATTATGGGGTTCGTCTTTGGCATCGTTCAAAAGAAATTTGGGCCATCCACATAATTTTTTTTAAATTTAAATTTATTAAAATAAAAATTTATAATTTTTTTTATAAATATGTTCACCATTAATTTGAATAGTACTAATCTAATTTATGTGATCTAATTTAATATTATAATTTTTTAAAATTAACTATTTATATATACTCTGGATAGTTCATATTTAATATTAAATTTTTATTTGCAAAGTCCAAATTTAAAGTTTTTATTTCTTATTTTAATGAATGAAATATTAAAAAAGAAAATATATAATCTTTTAACTATAAATTTTTAAAAAATATTTTTTTAAAAAAATTACAAGTTAAAAATTTTAAATCTAGATTGTACAAAATATATTTGGATAGTCAATATATAAAAAAGATAAAAATTTTAATACTAAATTGACCCTCCATATTAAATATAGATTAGATTAGTCATGAAAAGATTTATTGAATTTTTTTATAATTTTTATTTTAAAGAATATAAAATAAAAATGTTAAATTTATTTTTTAAATTTGGATGGTTTAAATTGCATCACCCAAGATGGATCCCCATATTATCCCAAAAATCAAGTATTGTGATTTCTGACATAGATGTGTGATAAGACCATATGAAAAGTTGTTTTTAAAAAAAGTGCTCAAAGTAAACCATTACGACATTTGGATCAATTAATAAAAAGGTTGATTAAGCTTAATTAGAGCTTAAAAGTTTTGAATTTGAGCCCTATATATGTGACAATGATTAAATTCTCAATGGTAGATATGTCATCTAAAAAAGTAACTGTAAGCTGGCAGGATTAGTCTGATTCAAAGACTTGAGGTACTAGAGCTCAACATGCTCAAAGTGAAATGTATATAATAAAAACTAAACTAGCTCCTATGCGTTGCACAAATTATACCTAAGACAATTGATTGAAGTACTTTAAACATCAAAATTTAGAATATTTAAACAAAAATACTAACATTCCTTTGTTAAATAAACTCATGAACATTAAGATTCATTATAAAAAAGTTGATGCGAAAAATGTGAATTATGTATTTTTTTTGGTATTTGTAATATATTCAACATAATTATATTTGTTATTTTGATTTAATATTTATAGCGTATTTTTAGAACAATTATGACACAAATTTCTTACATGAAACTTTATATAATTATATGTCTTATAATTTAACGTGAGAGAATTAATTTGTGTAAATTGCTAATCTGAGTGCAATTATTATTATTAAGACATATTATATCACTTGCATGTCCTTGTGATGGAACGTCTGCTGTCTTTAAAAGTTACATTTGACATGAAATCAGCAAATATTGTTTGTTGGTTTAAATTTTTTTTTTCAATTTTTACGAAAAGGGGAGAAAACACAAATGATAATTATAACAATTAACTGAAAACGATTAATTAACTGAAAACGTTCCTCTTCTTCATCCATTCTGTCGTCAATCATGATTGACTTGGCGAAGTATTTTTTTCTCCAATTTCTGCAAGGTGATATCTACTGTCTGAAGATTTTGTTTTCCATTGAATCTGATAGTTTCATTTTCTGCTAGTTTATATAATTTTAAAAATGGACAGAAAAAATCTGACTTAAATCTTTTACTAGATCATCCATAGTAAGTTGCCTTATTAAGCATGCCAAAGATTTTTTTGAATACATTTTTAATTTAAAGAAGAAAAAAAGATAATTATAAAGAGATACTTATGGATCTTGTGCATTGCATGAGTTTGATATAAGAAAATTATAAGAAATAATATAGATAACATTTATAAAATTCAAATTTAGGTAATAATGTTGTCTTGCTAGAAAAATGAAGACTTGTTTATATACACAGAGAAACACACATACATATATGCGCGCGAGTCCACACACACGTTAAATTTTAAGGTTAAAAGATGAATGAATGCTGACAATTTTTTATAATTGAACACATTAAGAAATAATATATCTTTTGACCATAGCTCATGTTACAATGTAGAAACCATATTTCATGTAATGTTGAGAAAAATGCTGACAAACAATGGTTAGAATTTTCTTTTATCCATAAGTATCTCTTTATCTCTCACGATCTCTACTTTAGGAAATAGTAGCTTGTAGGTTAGACCACGAGTTAATGGATTGAACAACACAACCACCATCACCACTGCTAAGAAGAAAATTCTAGCACTATATTTATTTCTTTTTTGTTCCCTTAACTTACATTTTCCAAATCTAAAATCAATATACAAAATAATAAGATTTTATATAAAACAAAAATAAATATCATATCTTGAAAATAAGCTCACTATAGATTATCATTTTCCATTGTTCTTAAATATTAATGATATGTTAAAAGTATATGAATGAGAAACTATTAAATTCCTACATTAATTAAAAAAAAAACCAAATAATGATATATGGTGCAAATGTCTATTACATTGATTATGCTCTTTAGTTCCAGATTTATTAGCCTTTGCCTCTGTCCAGCTGTATAGGATCTATTAGCAAATGCCCCTCTACTATTTACAA